AAGACTATTGGCAAATCCCGTTCAATTTGAATGATCAGATATTCTTACCGATTATCGAGAGATATTAATTATTTTTGAATTCATTTTTCGGAAAATTTAATTGATTATTTTTACTTTTTAATTACGTTCGTGTAATATTTCTTCTTTATGTTCAGAATATTACAAATCCACAGATAACTGTGACTGGACAATCACGTGACGATCCTTCGAGTCACTAAACCTTAAATCTTGTTTAAAATAAAATTGTAAAAATATATGACTTTTGTATAAATATTTATCATAATAGATTTATATATTGTATTATATAAGAAGAATTTTTTACTTTATTTGTTAAATCAAGATATCAGAATATCTAAATATTAAATTGAAATGATTACGCTCTCTGGTGCAAATCAAGGGAATCAACATCTCAATATTGTACATATACGATTTATCACACGAAATGTGGGAAGGAAGTGTCACGTCAAGATTAAACACATTTAATCATATGCAAGATGGTTGTTTGTAAATATTATCGACAAGGGAATTGTCGATTTGGACAGTACTGTAAATTCGATCATATCAATACTTTTGGTAAGATAAAACATTGTATATGATCTGCTTTTCACTTTGACATTAAAACGTTCATTCTGTAGGAGGCAATACCAAAGTTGACTCTTACAATGAAGACGAATACACGGCGTAAGTATTGAAAAATAATTGAACAAAAAATTCAAAAGCATTGAATTAATCTGTAATTTTAAAAAAAGGGAGTTAGTCGCGAAGGAGGTGCTTAGTGCAGAAAAAGGAGGACAGTGGTTGCTATCATGTTTTGGACCACTCAAAGAGAGACCGTGTATTCCTGGCATGGAGGATTTATCTCCAGAAGAAGTACGATGGGAAATGTATCAAGCCCAAAAAAATGGAATGGTGGAACAAGCAGTTAGTATGCATAATCATTTTTCCATGTTATTATGAACTTGTTTAAAATCAATTTCTTTATTGTCCATTTTAGAAATTACATTTCCAACAATTGTGTCAAGATATGAAAGCAAAAAGGGAAGCTTTAAAAAACCCTACTAGAGAGACATTAACCAAACTTGTATGTAAAAGGTCATTAAAGGTTTACATTTATTTCAACAAAATTCTAATTCACAATCTGTTTCCTTTTCAGAAAGAAATTTTAGGAACAGGTCGCAAGAATACCACAAATGACAACACAGCTGCAAAACCATCCAGCTTTTCCTTTGCAACTCCTCAACTTGGACTTCCAAGCAGTACAACATCCTCTAATGTGTTTGTGAACAAAACCTTTGGAACCCAGAGCAATCCATTTAGTGGAGGTTTCACAACTCCTAGCAATACCTCGATATTTGGGAGAACAACAACAGCTTCAAACCCAGTATTTGGTAGTTCTCCCGCTTTTGGCAGTAATTTAGGAATGTTTGGTGGTGGTACCAGCACCAGTTCTGTATTTGGTAGAACTACAAATACGTCTACATTTAATACAGGACAAAACACGCAGACATTCGGGTCGTCCGGCTCGATATTCGGTGGAGGAACCCCCCAGACCGTTTTCGGTCAGTCTAACATGTTCGGGACGACCAATCAAGTGAACAATGTCTTTGGCAGGATCCAAACGTCCCAGCCAACCACATCAGTATTCAATAGTGGAGTTACGACCTCTCCGTCTTTATTCAGCAACACATCTTCTCAATCTAATACGTCCATGTTTGGCGGAGCCAAAATTTCCACTGCTAATCCATTTGGTGGCTCTGCTAATTTACAGACTACCAACACCATCTTTGGAACGACACAATCCACAGGAACCTTTAGCTCTGGAATATTCTCTCAGGCTGAAACACCTGCTTTTGGAGGAGCTCCAGTTTTCGGCAGTACAGCGACATTTGGAAACACACCTGGCTCAATATTCAGCGAGAAACCAGCGTTTGCCAGCAGTGGCGGTATTTTCGGTGGACCAAACACTACTACACCTGCCTTCAGCTCTGCACAACCCACTGGTGCCTTCGGTGTTACCACTTCTACCCCTGCTGTGAATTTATTCAGCGTTACTCAGACTACTACATCCGCTATGCCTACATCTAACGCTTCACCCTTTGGTACAACACCTTCTACGACTGCTAGTCTTTTTGCTACCGCGACCTCACAGTTTGAAACTACCAATACAACCGTCTTTTCTAAACCTACATTTGGAATGGCCACTGGAGACACCTTTGGTACCACAGTTACCAACTCGTCTAGCGTACCATTTGGTGCTACCAGTACTGGAGTCACCTTTGGAACACCAACCACTACAACTGCTTCTCCCTTCACGTCGTCTACTTTCGCTGACGTGAAGGGTTCACCATTTGGTCCTACCAATGTTACTACCACGACAACAACTACGAACGCGTTCACGCCTCAACAGCAACAGATTACTTCGCCCTTTGGTACCTTTGCACAGAGTCAAACTTCTAGCACTGTTACTACATCGTCAAGTGGACCCTTTGGAAAACCTGCGTTTGGTATAACTCTGACAGCTAAGATTATTGACGATAGCATCTACTCGATGGATAATCAATTGACAGACGATGAGAAAAACATGTATTTAGCAGAGAAGTTTGTGTTTGGTAAGATTCCATTGAAACCGCCTACCAAAGAGATCAAGTAACTGAACGAGGATGTGTTTTTAGATACTTTGTTTCCTATAAGCATGTACAATTAAGATACGTTTTACAAAACTAGAATAATAAATATTAGATTGTAATATATGAAATGTTCGATTTTGATATTTTTTAAACCATTTTTTCCAATAAATATTTTTATCTTTGTAAATGTATTATATATTATTTTAAAGCTTAGAATTTTCTCTTTCTTTTTTTTATTTTAATTTTTCAACATTTTTGTATTTGAATACATATTTTTTAGGTTTCCGTGTATCATGAATTAGCATGAATTTCGCATCCTTTTTCTATATGAATGGAAAAATAGTTCAAACTTCCTAATTCAACTATCTAAAACCAGGTGAAACTATCATGGCAGAAAAGTATTGTGCCGAACTTGAAGTAATGCACCAAGAATTACGAATTAAACAACCGGCATTGGTTATGACAATGCTCGGCCACACATTTCGCAAATAACAGTGCAAAAACTTAATTACTTAAAATACGAAACTTTACTTCATCCGCTATATTCACCGGATTTGTCGCCCACGGATTATCATTTTTGTTATCATCTAGATCACTTCCTCGGTGAAAAATCCTTTACGAATCAAGCAAATATAGAAAGTACCTTCAAAGAATTTACTGATACCAGAACAGCGAGATTTTATGAAAATGGAATTAAAAAACTTGTTACTCGTTGGCAAAAATATGTAGATTGTAATGGTTCCTATTTCGATTAATAAAATGTAATATAAAAGAAGTTATGCTGATTTAAAGCTGCGGTTCAAAATCAGACATTTCATATGTTACAATCTAGTAATATATTTATTAACGACGCATAACTTTTTTTATGACTCGATTGAATATTGTTTTAACGAAATTGACATGTAATAAAGTATAAAATTTATGTTGTTATAATTGGTGTGTTTCATTTTTAATATCTTCAAGAACCCACCCGAAAATGTAGTACAAATTCAAACATGTCAGAAACATATATATATATATATATCTCAATCTCTTTTAATTTAATCAATTACACTCCGTTCCTTATTCATACTTACATTTATCATACATTCTTGTAATGAATTACTCCAGGAGGAGGCGGTGGGGGAGGAGGAGGAACGCTATTACCAAATTGACTTCCTTCCGACACCTGAGGACAATTTTCTTATTTAATATTAATTTTAAAAGAATAATAATTTCTTGAGCTATTAAAGCAAACCTGTGGCAAATGACAGAGAGGATTTGTTGGGTAGTTGGTTCTCTGTGCATAAGCTGTAGACTGATTTGGTGGTTGTGACAAGCCTGGAGGTATTCCATTTGGTGGCTTGTACCCAGTGATCTAATATAAATTCAGTATTCTCAATGAAACACCATTTTATGAACAGTTTGTGTACAAAGGGTTAGAGTGACCAAAGGATCCACGTACTTTGTCGTTCATCTCAGGAAAAATGGTACTCAGATTGAAATTGGTGAGACTAGTACCAGAGGGATGATGACTCATGGTCATTGGGTTGCTTGCTACTATTCCTCCCCTTGACATATTTGGATTCATTGGAAAACCAGCTGTTGCCACAGTTGGTACACCCTGAGGACCAGCGACTGATGGCGGCGGCGGCGGCAAGCCATTCACTGCTTTGGTGTATACATTTGTCTGTGGATGATTCTGATAAAGAGGGCTAGCATGTGGTGGTGGTGGTGGTGGTAAAAATGTAGCAGAATGGTGATAATCCTCCAAAGGTGAATTAATGCCAGACAGAGGAAATTCTAAGTTCTGCATGGTACCATCTAAGCCCTTCCTCTTTCCTTTCTTCGCATTTGTGGTGTACGTTCTCTTGTCGCAATTCTGTTGCTTCCCGTAGTGTTGATGATTCTTTGCATTGGTATTTACATTGGAAGTAGAGGTTGTCACTGTAGATGTAGTGGATGATGCGATGGTTGAAGAAACTGACACGTTTGGCAAGAGAAACGCGTTTGCTTCCATATATTCTGTGTTGTCGTGTAATGGCATCATATAGCTTGTAGGTGTATTTGATATGCTAGTTATGAAATTCGACGTGGGATAAATATTAGTGTTAGAAGAATATGTATATGAATTAAAGTTCTGATTAACCATTTGTCCATAACCACTTCCATCATCTGTGTTTGAGAAATAATTAAGAGGCATGACTGTGTCTGCAGTAGCTAGACTAGTTTGGAATTTATTCTGAGAATAATTAGTGGAGAACTTAATTGAAGCATGCTTGTCTTGATTAGTATCATGAACACTGCTATTAGTTCCTATTAATGCCTCTGCAGTGTAATTGCTCTTGCAATTCCTGCTCCTCCAATGAACATTATTCTGCTGATACTTTTGTTGTTGCTGTTGCTGTTGTTGCTGATATCCTTGTTCAGAGAATGTATGTCCAGATGATTTCTGCTCTTCGTGTCTCTGATGTAGTTGATCATTACCTGAAACTTGTTTTCTGATGTCCATCTGCCTCTTACTTGTTCCTCTGGGACTAGCATTGTTCTTTCTTTGATGTTTCCTAGCCTGTTGTTGCTGTTGTTGCTGCTGCTGCTGTTGCTGTTGTTGATGTGGATGAGCATGATGGTGATGGTGGTGATGATGATGATGTTGTTGATGGTGTTGCTGATGAGACTTCTCTGCTTTCTCATGTTCCACTAACTGACTGACAGAAAGAAACGAAGATCCAGCTCCTGGATGCTGGACAGTCTGATTGTTCAACACATTATGGAAATCACGTCCTGTGACAGTTCCTTCTTTATCCTTATTAGGATCTTTGCTCTGATCAGGTGGAACTCTCGAAGGCACCTGTCCAAACAAGAAGTTCTGTTTTTCTGGTATATTGGTACCCAAATCCAGATCACCTACTAAAGTTGGAAGACTGGAAGAAACAATGTGCTGGTCTATGCCTTTGACTGGTTGAGTCTGCTCAACATGAACACTGGTCTTTGTAGGAGACCATGGGAAAGGCTGTTCCTCAGAATAAAACACCTCAGAGGTCCTTTTGGGTTCACTTTGCAGAACTGGTAAATTAGGAAAACTATGTGCTGCAACATCATAGTTATTATAGAACTGATTTGGCGTTCCTTGATTGTATGATGGTGTTTGGGCAAATAGATTATTCTGACAGAACTCCAGCTCTTTTCCAATAGGTGGTAGAATGATGTCAGCAATATTTGCATTGTGCTTGATCTCTGGTGTCATCATCCAGTTAACAGGTGCCCTAATTGCATGCTGTTGCTGGTTTGCTTTAGACTTTGTTGTACTCTGTTGTTGTCCATGCTTTCCATCATTGTTATAAGTAACAGTATCATGTTGAAGGGGAGCAATTTGACCCTGAACCAAGGGTTGATACTTATTCTGACCCTGTTGTTGCGATTTATCAGGATACTTGAAATTCGAACTAGCATAAGTCTCCACAGGGTACTTCATCTGTGTACTAACTTCTGGTAAATCAAAGTTTACTTGGGAATCATAGCTAGACATTGGATAAACTGTCTTATCCTGCTTTGTAGCCATAGGCTGATGGTTCTTTGGTCCATGTTGCTGTTGCTGCTGAGACTGCTGCTCCATTCCTGAATATTCGTTTGGAATGTACTCTGACTCTATGCCATATTTAGATTTATTCTTATTCTCTGTACTGAACTTGTTATAATTATTATTATTAGAAGAAGTCTGACTTTGATTCTGCATACGACTCTGTTTACCAGATGGAGGAACATTGGTCTGAATATTCCTGGTTTTAGAGGGATCCACAAAAGGCTGTTTCTGTGGTTCCATTGTAGATTTCATCCTCGATTTATCCATGTTAGCCATAGTCGAATTTACTGAATAAACGTCATTAGTTAATACATTAGAGAAGTTTGGATTTTCCTTGTGTAGAGGTACATAATTATAATTCTCACAGATGGTTTTAGCCTCGGTATTGTCTGCCTGACTTGACCCTTGCTCAAACTGTACTATGTTATTATTGCTGCCTCCACCAACTGGGGAAAAAGTGGTCCAAGACAAGATGCTAAAATTGGAAGAATTGTGAGCAACTGTAGTGGTTGATTTTGCATGGTTTTCAGTGACTGTACTTTGCTCATAGTTTGACGTTGCTACGAAGGACGTTGATTGTTGAGAGTAACGAGTGACAGGAGTATTCTGAATGAGAGGCTTGCTGCTCATATTGTTAGAGGAACTAGTATTAATTTTCTTTGAATCCTTATTAGAATAAGTGGAATAATTCTGCGTGTCCTCCCTTTTCCCTTGATATAAATTATCAGTACTCTGATTCAATGCACTCTGCTCAGTCTGACTACCCATAGACTCCTTTACACCATAAGAAAACGTTTGAGTAAATGGATCAACATCCATTTTCTTCGTAGTACTATAATTAGTGTCACGTCTATGATTTTGTTGTTCCTGAGGCTTTGATCTCAAAACATCGTTCAATTTTGTATCCTGATCTACAACGTTGTTACCTGAAGAATCAGACTCCTTGTTCATCTTTGAATAATTACGTTGGAAGTGATTTTCCGATGAATTCGATATTGGATCCTTTGATGGGTAACTCTGATTTCTGTTAGATGTAGTAGTGTTGCTATTTCCAGTGGGATAAGAGTCTTTTCGAGGAATATTCTTATTCTGATCCACTGTATAGTCACTGTGAGTGTTCTGAATAATATGATCCTTCTCATGAACTGTGTAACTCTGATGAGCATTCTGTCTAGTACTTAGAACATGAGTGTCTTTAGGCTGTGATTCATACACAGTTTGCATGGCTTGGGAAGAAAGAATAGGCAATGCAGCATTTTTAGACTGCATTGAATATTCTTGTTGAATATTCTGAGAAGAAGTGGGAAGAGCTCTATCTATATGACCAGTGTAATTCAGTCGATTATTGGGTACAATATTAGAATCCACCATAGGATCTTTATTATGAACCCCATAAGCGACACGAGAAGTGTGAGATTCTTTTTCTTTTATTTGCGGAGCATAATCCATCTGCATAGACTGTAGAGGTAACGATGAAGAATTTGTGGTAGTACTTGTGTTATTTAAATGAGGAACCAGTGGTGCTTGCGATACACCAGGCACAATATTCTGACTCAGGCCAGTCGGATTCGTTTCTTGAATGGTTGAATTGGTACAAGCTGTTGAATTTTGTTGTAAATTGGACAAATTATTCTCTACAATTGTTGAGTAGCTAGATAAGAAGTCCTGAGAGGTGCTGTAACGAACGTTAGTGTCACATGTCGAAGCCTGAACTGGTAAATTAGTCGGGTCTGTTTTATTTGAGATAGAGGCAGTGTCAATTTGAGACTCACTAACATTTTCATTGTTATTATTTGTAATTGTGTTTCTCAGATTCGTTGTGAGTTGATTCTGGCAATCTTCTGCTGCTTCTGAAGTACTTGTAATGGAAGTAGTGCCTGAAGCACTTCCAATGGAGTATAGAGTCGCGTGAGAAAAGGAACTAGTAGGTACAGACTTCTCTAAAGATGGTGTCAAGACACTCTGAACTATTTTATAGGGTTCTCTAAGAGGTTCCTCACTGACAACCTTGGACAAGGTTTTTGTAGTCGTGTTACATTCCACAGAAACCATCATATCTGAGTTTACAGCCTCACTAACTGGAGGATTTATATTTTTCTTCTCTTCACAAGTCACTTTTAATCGTTTTTCAGGTACTGAATGGGATGGTGATGATGTTTTTAGTTTAAAGCTATTGGGCTCCATTGTTCCAATTTGTAAAAGCATAGGAGGAGTCTGACTGTGGTATTTGAAGTCTTCTTTCATCTCCTCTTCCAAGACTTCTGTTTTCCCATTCAATGAAGATACCAATGGGAATGCCATTAAAAATGCTGCAGTAGGAGATATAGATTCTGGGTTGTGTGAGCTAGAAGGAACTTGAAGGGAGGCAAATATATCATTCGAAAGATCAGAATGAAGACCATCAGCCCTGTTACCAATAGGTACAAAAGAATTTTCTGTGTTAAATGACAATGACGACTTTGATACTTCATCTTTTGATGTCTTAGATAATTTAGATTCATCTTCCACTATACTAACAGGAAGTAAAGATGATGTTGGTGTTGTGGTGTCTGATGTCTGAACAGCTGTACTTGCTTCTGGTTTCAAAGTTGTTGTAGTATTTGTATCCAAATTTAGAATAATCTTATTACTTTCTAAGTTAGGTGCTCCTTCAACAACCTCTGGTTCTTTAGATGCAGCTTGTAAAAGATTATCGAATTCTGCTCCAAGATTGCACACTTCTTTCATCTTCCTAGATCCCACAGATTCTTGTACTACTTCTTCAACTTCTGTTAAAGGTGATTTAGAGCTAGGCTGATCCACACTGTTACTTGATTTTTCCAGAGTGCTGTCTACAGGAATATGGAAGTCTGCTTCTGGAGAGACTGATACAGCTTCATTGCCACATTTTAAATGCTCGTCAGAAAAAGTTACCGATGATGTTGTGTCTGAAATCGACGAATCTTGAGTTTCTTTCATTCCACACTGAATATTCTCTGATGTCAAGACATCTTCTGATTTTGAAGAATCAGGAACTTCCTCTTGATTGACACCATTAGTGCATAACAAAACAGGGCATTCTACGTTCGTTTCAGTCTCCTTCTCTTCTAACTGAGTCAGAGCATGATTTTTATCTTGTCCCTCGTTCGTATTCTCGCCTATCTTTTCTATCACGTGCTTCAAACTTTCAATGGATTTACAGGTCACAGCAAAGTCTGCTTTGGACACGGGAACTTTTGCTATGTTGTCTTCATTATTTTCGTTCAGTTTTCGTTTCTTATCATTGGGTTCATCGGTAGGCCCAGATTCTGTACTTGAAAGGCGTTTAACCGGAGCTTTTTGTGTAGCATCTGCATCATCAGCACACTTCATACTTTTTTCTTTCTCATTTTTCTCTTCTACTGCCTCTGTAGGTTGCTGATTTTTATTATGTTTCGCGTTACTTTTTCCAACTTTTGATTTAACTTCTGTCTCCTTTTTAGAAGCATGTTCCTTTGATTTTTCTATTTTTTCCTTGTGAACTGCCGGAATAGGAACTTTATACGTCATTGTAGTCTTTGTAACTTCTTTACCTTTCGGTAAAATACCTTTATGACCACCGATCTTTGTCGCGTTAATTATATTCTTCACATTAGATGCCCAATTCTGTGAATCTACCACCATATTTGCACGAATATTAGGGACTGTGTTTAACGTTACCTTTTGTACCGTATTAATCACAGCTTGATTGCAAATTGATACGACAGGATTCTGCACGCGATTCGTCAAAGGCTGCATCACGATCATCTGATTCTGTTGAGCGTTCCCGAGGATTATGGGGTTCGTCGGTTGTTGCTGAGTATTTACAATTATGTTCGACGTCATAGGAGTTACCAGAGGCATTAATTTACCGCCCGATAGTATGACAGTGTTTGGGGTCAGACTAGTCACAGAATTATTTATACAAGGATTCAACGATTTTTTCTCCTCCTTTTTCTTTATTTTTCTCTTTACCTTCTTTTGAGATTCTACTTTCTGTAATGCTAAAAGAATAATATTTTATGATGAAAACTGATACTGTGAAAGGTTTTTATCTATCATTGTTCTCTATACCTACCACTATTTGTTTTGCCATTTATTGTAGTGACTGCTACATCAGAACCTAATTAAAAAAATAATAAGAGATGTGTTTGTATATTTAGAATAGTTATAGAGAAGAGGAGACATTTACTTGTGTTTGTTTGGCAGCATTCTGGTTCTTTGGATCCCGTCTCTGATGCATTGCCTGTGCTATCTGAATTCTCATCTTTGCTATTTGCACAATTCACCTGATTCTCCTGATTTTCTATGGAACTATTCACATCCTTAGAATTATCACTATTCTCTGCCAACTTTTTGTTAGATGAATGAGAAGAAGTAACTGATTTCCTTTTAGAAGGCACTTTGAGTTCCACAGATTTTTCCCTCTTGCTCTCAGAACTTTTTACTGAAACCATACACTCTTTACAAACATTCAAATCCAATAAAATCATTCTTCATTCATCAATTATGTTTCTTATCATTCTTACTTTCTTCTAATTTGCTAAAATACTTCTCTGCATCCTCCACATTAATTTTATTTGACCATTTCAAAGGAGATATCTTTTCAAGGGCTGGCTCTGCTGGTACAGAGATACCAGCCTCTCGCAGAAGAGTAGATAATAATTGTGTACGAGAGAAGAGCTGAGTTACCAGTTTTTTTAGACGAGCCAATTCTTCCTCTGTTTGTAAGCAAAAATATGAACATATGAAGAAACAGACACAAGCTTTATGCTCATGTTACTCTCATTGTCAAATAAATCTGCTTACTGTGTGCTTCTGATGCATGAGCTGAAAATAACTCCTCTGTACGGCTATGGAGGTCTTTGATGTACTTTGAGGCATGGATCAGGATGTCGACCTTGTTGCGTTTGCGACCCTCCTGATGCGGTGGCAAAAGATCTGCTAGCGTTTTGAAGTATGTGTTCATACGTTTTCTTCTGTCTCGCTCCCATGTTTTTGCTTTGCTGAGAAGACGTCCACGTTAACGAATATTCCATTAAATTTTCAATGGAAACACGCTTTTATCGTGGTTCGATAAAAAAGACGCGAACAGAAGGGAGATCTTGCTAATAAACTCGTCGAGGTTAATGGTTCGGTTAATGGACACTTACGTGTTCTCTTTTCGAGGCATAATTTATCCTCTTGGCATCGTTTCGCGTGAAGTTCGCGCCGCGGGAAGCGCAGATGCGTCACTTGTCGCTGACATTACACACGTTCGTGGATACCCGTCGAATATCTGACATTTCAGTCCTTCTTCTGGCTTGATCGCGGAATACACGAAATAAAAACCCTATCGTCAAGTCTCGAAAGTCATGACGATCATTCAAACCTGGCCGCCCTCTATCGATTTTCATTTACGCGTGTTTTATCAATCCTCGATATGGTAGTTCCCGTCAAATATTCTTATTGATGCACGTTAAAAGATTCTACAATTTTCTACTTTATGCATTTGCGATTAAAAAGAGTTACGAAGTTATAAGAATTTCTTCTTTATCCTCTTGTGATTGAAAAGGATGTCAGTCGATAAAATCACGTCAACGCCATTTTCAAAGAGATACAGGTCTTCTGAAGATGATTTGACGAAAAAGTTTCTTCTCGGTGATATATTTTATAGTTCTTAAGGTACTTGGATCAAATATTTCGTACACTTTAATTCTAAAATGAAATCTTCAAGTAAGAAGTAATACATCGTTGAGCTTCCTATTCTTAGTCGGTTAAAATTAGTCAGTCAACGAATAGAAATTTTTCGTTAGGTTTGGTCGGTCAGTAGCCTGTAAGATATAGCCGCATTCTCACCATTCTGGCATTTTGTTGACGATAGGCGCCAGCAGATTGTGCAATCCCAATGCACCATGGTGCAGTTTAGAATAATCGCGAAGATGCGTCGCGAAGAATCGCACGTAGCCACGATGCAAAACGCATTCGAATATCAACAGAGAAGAACGCCTTGAAAGCGTCACCGATGCAAATCGACGATGACAAGTGCGAATATCATACGGAATAAAAAGTGGCCGCGACAAAAAGAGTAAAAATAAAAGAGACGCTTAATAATACATAAAGCCCAGCAAATATATATCGAGTGCATGAAATGATTGTTACGCTGTTGGTAAAAAAGTGAGAACTCTTAAACAACATGGCGTCGCGTATAATTTCGAAAATTTGTATACTAACGTTTTCAGGGAAAGACAGAGGTAATATTACGAAGTTACATTATTTCCAGTTTCGTTCAAAAGATTTCGAGCGTTTTCTGTGCGCGCCGTTTATTTGGCAACGCCGCAACCGCCGCATATTTCACTGTCAGCCTGTTTACAATAAAATTAACTCCTACTCGTAAGGAATAAACAGAATACGCATTTACCGGGCGGAGAAAAGAAGAAAGATTCGCCAGAGGGAGAGTGTGTGCTGTGTGAGCGTATGTTGCATCTTCGTGAACCGGCATGACTCGTTAGAAATTTGGACGCCATTACTGTTTTACCTTCGCCATGAACGAGCACACGTGTGTTCATTTGCGTAATTAATTATTCTTAGAATATTCAACTCCAACATAACGACGCTTAAATTTAGCTGAATTTACATTCAGTGACATATAACATTAAGGGGGTACTCTAGTCTAGACTGTTCAAAAAATCGATAATTTTTTTGTATGTTATGAAACTATAGGTTTTCAAAATTATGTTTACGGATGGATTTGTGCAAATTCGTAAAAATAACGAAGTTGTAAAGATTTAAAGAAAACCGCACAAGCCAGCAGCGTGCGACATACAATATACAATATTTTGGAAGTAACTAAACTGATCTACGATGATTCATCTGCAGACAAATTAACGAAGAGATGATTAGAAGCGGAAACACAAAATAATAACAAATCGTTAAGTTCGTTGATTTGAATTTTTGTTCCAAAACATACTTTTAGGAGCAGCAGCCGTTCAAATAGCTACGTTTTTAATGTATGTTTTTTCTGTACTGGGATTGACTATTGGCCAGCAAGCAGAGGTGTGCGTAAATTCCCGACATGAGAGTCGGCTGACAGAAGCTGCCAAGGTTAGGGTTGCTCGTATGGAAGAAAAATCAGTTAAGCAGGACTTTTTAGAATAAGAAGAAGGTCCACTGTATTGGTCGAAAGTACAATAATTTTCATTTAATTGGTATGAAAAACTTTGAACGCGTTTTTCTCAAAACCGTACTTTTCGAAATGGCTGACAGGATATCTCATGTTCTAGCTGACTGATTGACTCCAAATTTCGCATGCATGTTCAGCACATGTGCCGTTATTACAGGAACGAGAAAAGCAAGAAATTCTATTTTTCCTAATTTTAGAGCTCACAAACAAGAAAAAACAATGGAAAGAATCGATATTCAAACTTCAAAGAGCCTCCATTTTTTAAATTTTCAATATTTTTCTTTTATCCTGGTTCACACCATAGCCACATTCACTAATCAGGAACCTTTTTGGTTTTTTCGTTTCGGGTAAGTAGAATGGGCAGAACCATGTCAGTCAGTAGGACATTTTTTTTTTTTTCAAACAACCGTATTAAATAAATTATAATTCAGACAATTTTTATTACTTTCACTTAAAAAAACGAAAGGTAAATATTCTTAACAGGTTAAACGCCGTGTCAGTCACCGGTGACTGACAGTATACTTTTTGTTAATTGTCTTCTGTTTATAGTTCGCCCATCGCGCATGGCCCACTTGACGGCCGAGTGTGGCGTGAACGGAACGGCAAGCAAAACAGGCTGGGCGTTTAACGTGTTAAACCACGAATAAATATGTATGCAAAAAGTTTATACTAAAAAGTCATGGTTTCTTCCTAAAAAAAACCTCCAAGGGTACCTAAAAAATTACGCTCTAAACTAGAATACCTTCTTCAAATTTCTATTTAACAACGCTTAAGCTCGCATTTCTAATTTGTTCATAACATAACATAATATAATCTAATCTTTCTTTATCATTTTCACGATATTCCTCATTTCAGTGTAAAGCACGACGTATCGTATGGACTGTATCTTATTAAAAAGTTATTTACTTAACGACCGACGTTAAGATAAGTTAAAACAGGATATAATTTTCATTATGTCTATAAATGGTTACGAAAAAGGCGAGTCCACATGTATATCCTGGCTAGAAATCGTACAATTATTCAACTGTTAATCATCGCAGACGCATTTATACACGCGCGGGCCCGTGCGAAATTCTAGTTTTCAACGGTGCAGAGTAGCGCGTGCGGCACTAATTAATGATTTAAGCAACACGCGGCCGAGTTTCACGTGTATACGCAACTCTCACGCATCTACGTTTACGCTCGCTGCCTCCGGAGCGGCGTAGCCAAGGAATGTACCATGGTATAATTACGATCCTCCCCGTGAGAATCATTTATGCAATTAACGGCTCGCCTTTCAGGAAGCTCCCTCCAGGCGAATCAACACCCGTTTCTGCCCCGTGTGCAGTTTCTCTAATTAATCTGAGTATTCCGCTCGTCCAAAGTAAAAAATAGCCGACAGCAGAGGATGAAGGAGGGTAGTCGTGTCTAAATACACGTTCGTCTTTTGTTTTACGTACTATACTTTTCGCGTTCTCTCACACACACTCTAACAAAATTAATCCGTAGAATATTTCCACCCTGTTATGCGTCTACGGGCTGGCCCAGAAGGGATGCTGGGCGTATTTGGTTATGCATCATTCAGCAGGGAGGGAACAACGCTCTGTTTGGACCACATCGCCCCATTCAAAAGACTGTAGCTTCCCCTCTCATTTACTTGATCCTTTCAAAGATGGTGGTTTTGCCATTTTATAAAATTGCATCTGTACTTCTATTAAAACTACTCTCCTGCATTAACTTTTCAACACTCCACTGTACAAAAATTTTAACAATCTTCAATATTCTACTATTAAAAACTAAAAGGTAAAAAAATTTGCATACAAACAATTTTCACATTAAAACCACCTTTGTATAAAAGAAATGCAATTTTTTCCCCCCTTTTATGCAAATTTACGATCTACTCCATTACTTGATGCGGGGAACTGTCCATTGACAGGTCACCCTTACTTATTTGACCAGGTATTTAGGCCAATTTTTCTTCAGTCTTCTTACCACTAGTTGATTGATTAGCTCTCTAATATGGGGATTATCGTGATCAGTATTACGATTTTCATGCTCCAAAGCACGTTGCCCAATTAAAGCCTTGATGTATACTACATTAAGATCTAGATGTAGTGTTCGATTAGAGATGTACCACTACGGTGCATTTGTCACGGTACGTAGGGTTTCCCATTGAAACGTTTGTAAAATTTTTGTATTGGATGGTTTTGAGCAACACCAAAGTTCAATCCCATATGTCCAAATGGGTTTTAGTATTGCCTTATATAGTAAAATTTTGTTATTTAGTGACAACTGAGATTTTCTTCCAATTAACAAAGATATCTGTTTAACTTTAAAATTTTTAATTTTGCAGGTTTTTTGCTTCTACATATGTGGGCTCGCCATTCATCGTATATTCAGATGTTTCTGTAGTTGTTCAGAGGCCACCATTGGGTTCGAGTTTACCGATAGGATGACCGTATCATCAGCAAATGTAGCAATGGTAGTGTTGTCCGTAACTGGCACGTCTGCTGTGTGTACGTCTGTTGGCAGTTACATACGGTATTGTTTACTTTTGTTGGCAGCAGGTGTGAAATAAATAACTAATTAAATAATAACATATTTAATTTAACGTGTGCGTTTTATTGTCTTTGGTTTTTTTTCAGCGCATACTCATAACGAAACTGTGCCCTCCTTCCAAACCTCCTTCAATACATCGTTGCTTCTCCAACACCCCTCCTCAACGATAAATTTTTGGTGGCTGGTGGCTTAGTGCATTAAGCCACACTTTTCCCGAAGTATGGACAACCTGGTATTGTTGAGTGGCTTCGCGAGCATTTCAGCCAACATATTCTCTGTAGGGCAGTACCGATATTCTGTTAATCCCTTTTCTTTTCGATCTCTGACGTAATGTATTTTATTCTGCTGCTGAATTTTTTATTTTCTGCGAGTTTTTGATATCCTTGATTGTCTTCCGCGATTATTGTTGGGCCTTGTTGTACTTTTCCGCGATCTTTTAACAACCGACGTAGCCATACACCTTCCTGACTCGCCTCAGCAAGTGCTACATATTCAGCTTCTGTCGACGACAATGCAACGCAGTCCTGCTTTCCGCAAGCCCAACTCACAGTTCCTCCCAGAAATCGGAAAATATATCCACTGTTAGATTTTCTGTCAATTATATTTTGTGCCCAATTAGCGTCTGCAAATCCTATTAATGAA